GCACATTCAACGACTTCTTTCCTCTCAGAGAGCGCAAAACAAGGGAATGAGTTGAAAGGGAATCTAGGTGACCTTAGAAAATGAAGGCGTCCAGATATTTATCCTCCGTAAAAGAAAAAAAAATTTATCCAAAATAATGGAGTATTTCCATTTATTCTCATCACTCATCTTCAATAGTTGTTCATTTTCACAATTTCTAGTAAATTATTTTCAAATTTTAACTTATATTTTTACTTATAAATAAATAAAATAGGATTCAAAAAAATAGCATAAAATAAAATAATATTTTTAAAAGATCCTAGTAAATAAATATAAAAAAATTATTTTATATCAATATCAAATATTTTATTTATTTAATTTCAAATCAAAATTTATGAATTTATGAGGAATAAGTTTTTCTACGAGTATGATACATTTTTTATTCTTCAACCACTTTCTTTAATTTCTGCCTATTTCAATGAATGACGTTTGCCTATTTCTGCCTATTTCAATGAATGACGTTTGATTCAATGAATGACGTTTGCCTATTTCAATGAATGACGTTTGGTTAAAATTTTTCCAGAGGAAGAGTTTAATTTTATCTTCCTCTGGAAAAATTTTCAAAAGTAAAGCTGAGTAAAAAAATTGTGGGTAACATGTATTTTAATTTATTGGGGAAAGTGAGGAATTGTGACAAAAATGGAGACAATTCCAAAGAAAATTATGTTGATTAATTCCAAAGAAAATATATAAAATTATGTGAAAGAATATACTACCTTCATCTCAAAATAAAAGAGAAAATTGATTATTATGTTTGATAAAAATTACTTTTGATTTAATTTATCTCAAAATTTGTTTATAAAAAATTTATATATAAAACTTTTACCAAAAGATTTATAAAATAAAAGAAAACATTGGTATATTATTATATCAATTGAGTAACAAAAGGTGATAAAGAAAATAAATACGTACTAATATTTTTCATGTAAATAGCGCCTTTAGGAGGAACAAGCGAGTAAAATTCTTTTTAGGTTGAGAGGTGCGGGAACGATAGGGGAACACCGCCGCCCTCTAGACGAGAACGAGAAAAGCAGGATCCCCTCCACGTTTTTACTGCCGCCCTCTAACGGTCATATTTTTTTGTTGTTGAAAGTAACAGTTGGGAATAAAAAATAAAATTCAAAAATTTTTACTATTTAAACAAAGCAGTCAAGCGGGGATGTTATTTTTATTATATATAGTTATTGTTTCTCCTTAAAAAAATATGGAGTATTGTTTTACTCATTTTTATTAGATTTCTTAGGCGTACTATTATTGTATTTCTTATTTAAATTTTAATAAAATGTTTAATTATTTTGAGTTTAATAAAATAATTTTTAAGTAAATTTCTATTCTTTTTATTTGTTTTATAGGTGTTAAAAATAATATTAAAATTGAATGAGAAATGAAAAAGGAAAACAGAAAATGACGTTGTGTGAGTTGGTAGAAACTAGAAGGGGAAAAGGAGAATGACACACCTGATTGCCTTCGAAAGAAAGAAAGAAGAAAAAATAATGTATAAGAAAATTGCTACAATCACAAACAAAATACAAAAAAATTACAAAGTAAATAAATTTATCATTTTTGATTAAAAAAATTCGTTTTTTATTACTAAAAAATTTATTTTTTTAAAAAAATATACTCCATCCGTCCCAAATTATTTGCAACGTTTTCTTTTTCAGCAGTCGCGGGAACTTTTATTTATTTTTATGTTTTCATTGGTTATTTGATAAAATAAAATATTTTTGACACCTCTTATTTCAAACAACTTTTCATGTAGTTTTTTGATATGTAAGTTTTATTTTTTATTTCCATATAAATAAATTGAAAAAAATTAATATTTTGCCTCAAAATATAAATGTGACAAATATTTAGGGACGAAGTACTTCGTAATACTCCGTATTTAATTATATAAAGTAATTTTCAATTTAAAAATAAAAGTTTTATGACAATTTTATTGTGATTGACAGGTTTAAGACATGAGGGTGCAATATCACGGCGAGTTGAGTAGCTATGATTAACGGAGTCATAGATGGGGGCAACGGCACATGGGCCCCCCCTACTTTTCGCGAATTAAATTTCGACGCGTGGAGTCTTGGTCAAGGCGATGTGACTAGGATAATACGTACATTCTTTGGCGTTTTTAATTTATAATTTGTGGGTGATAAATATAATAATGAGACGATAAGACCGGAAATTAAAAACTTAAAAAAAAATCTAAAAAAATGTTGGGCCGGAGGTGGCAACTTGCTACGTGGCAGGCTAATGGAACTCCGTACTGCGTCCTTTTCCACCTTCATACCAATCTACTTTTCACTGTTTACATTTTTCGGCTTTTAATAATTGTATTTTTCGCAGCTTTAAAATAAAAATAACTTTAACAAAGTTTTGGAGTAGAAAAATCTGATATGCCCTACTAGCAGTATTTGACTATAATTTGTTCAAGAGAATCATATCCAAACAAAAAAAAATGAAATTTTGTTATATTTAATATTTTAGTGAAAAAAGGTGCTAAAAATGTGCATATTGCATAAAAAAACATTGTTGTTTGATTTCAGGAATTTAAAAAAAGTAATGAAAAATAAGAAAAAGGATGGTGCATTTCTAAGCCACATTTCTTTCACAAATAAAAAATAAGTAAAGTGGTCACTCCAAAGGCGACACATCTCGTCGGTGCGATGCCGCTGTGGTCACGCCACCATACAACATGATCTTACATTCTTTGATTTCACTACATAATTTTACAGTATCACACAATTGGGTACGTGTCTAGAAATTCAAATACATAAAAAATACAAGTGGTCACCACAAAGGCGACACATCTCAGCGGCATCGCTGTGGTCACGCCACCATACCACATGGTTTTATATTCTCTCATTTCACTACAAAATTTTACTATATAAGAGTCAGCAGTTGGGTACGTGTAGAAATTCAAATACATATCCTCAGGGTCTGTCTGGTATACAGAATTGATTGAATTGAAATTGAATTGAAATTCAATGAGATTCAATTCCATAAAATTGAATTCTGCTAATTCCAATTCATTTTTTGTACTATCAATTCCAAATCCACATAATTTTTGTACTACCAAACACCAGAATTGGAATTGAAGTCCCCAATTCCAATTCAATGGTTTGAATTTCGTGCACCAAACGGGCCTCAAAGATTCTGATTTAAAAACCAAAACATAAGAATCTTGGCAATGTTTATACTTTACTAGTCGTTGTTTCATTCGTCAAATCTTTTATCATATGACCGTATTACTAATAAGAAACCAAAGATTTCTCTTCTTTCCTCTTTGCTATGACCGTTTTGTCCTACAATTCTTCATGTTTGAAACTATGAACCTTGTGACTTCTGGTTTAACAATAGACAAACTCCATGCATACACACACACACACACACAAAAGATGTATTCCATGTGTCCTAGATTTTGAGATACTATGTCGCCATGTCCATGTCTATGTTTATGTCATGTGTCATATATGGTGAAGGAAGTGCCACATGTTTGTTGTTCAAAGGGGAATGGCAATAATTTTGGAATGGACAAAATAAAAGGTGTCTCAATTTATTTTTTGAGGGAAAAGATCATATCCCCCCTTGGTGTCCCAAGCTTAAAAAATTAAATGAAAATCATGCTTAATTTTCATGAAAAAAATTAAAGGGTTTTAATTTTTGTGGTGTAGTTGATAAGAATAAAAATGAAATACCTAGTAGTATAACAAGTAAAAGACGAATACAAAAAAAAATTGCACTCTTGAAAATAGACAACCATCAAAAGGCATGGGTAATAATGTCCATACAAATTGACAGAATATTTATTCCAAAATGTGGGAAATGAAATATATCTTTTTCCCATTCCAAGGATAATTTTCTGATGTATGTATACCAATCATGTGAGTATTTCAAGGAATAAACATTCATGCATTATCATTAATCATACATGTTGGGTAGTATTGTCACCTAGACAAATGATGTCTTAGGCGCTTGTGTGTAATCTAATTAATTCACTCGACTTATTGAGGCAATAAATGAAATACTTCATCCTCTCTAGTTTATACTCCCTCCGTCCAACAATAAAGTTCTCGTTTACTATTCACAGGGTCAAATTTTATTCACTTTGTTGGCCTATTTTTGTGTCTTATTTGATAAAATAATATAGTCATGTCACCTCTAGTTATGTAGATCTTTTCATGTAGTTTTTAAATATATAATTTTTATTTTTTTATTCCATACCATATTTCATTTAAAATGATTTAAAAATAATTTCAGTCAAACATCGTAACGCGCAATGGGAACTTTATTTATGGACGGAGGGAGTACAAGTTTTTTTTCAATATGATTATAAAGAGGTATAAAAAATTAAAACCGTGTAGCAAAATATCCCACGATTTTTGGACACATTTTAATGGCATAATATAACACCTAGATCCTATTGTGCTCCGTTAGACCCTGACATCCTAACCCTTCTCACNCCCCCCCCCCCCCCCCCCCCACCGCTTAAAATGTAGGGGAGGGGTGATGGTGGTGGTTTGTGGGATGGGTTAGGAAGAAATGTTGGGATGGAGGGGCAATGGGGGTGTTAATTTGTGGGTGGGTTAGGAGAGTAAGGACCGAACCTAATATCACAGGAGCGGCACCATAGGGTCTTCAAATGACTTGATGTCATATGACAGTGTTAGAGTCAAAAGAATCAAGCTCAGCTAAACACTACATTGGTTTCAAATAAATTTTGTAGTAAAATTACATACTACTCCCTCTGTATTTTAAAACAATTCCTCTTTTTTTTCTCTGAAACACTTCCACTTTCTATTAAAAAACCACGTTTACCTTTACTTTTTTTTACCTTACCTATTAGATCATACTTTTCCACTAATAATCTACCCATCACATCTTATTTTTACCCATCACATCTTATTTTTACCCATCACATCAAGGACAAAATGTGAAAGTCAACCACAAATATGCAATCTTTAAAAGTCAAAATAAGAATCATTTTATGAAACAGAGGGAGTATAAAAAAAGGTTTAGCAGTATATGTCAAGTTTCCTGTCAAACACGGGATAAAAAAACTAGAATCATGCAGGACTATTATCATGTTGGATGCGTTTTAATTACTTTTAGTGGTATGTAACAAGTTCAATCAAACAAGAATGATGCAGCATTATTATCATGTTGGAAGTTGGGCATTACTTGTGCAGCAGCAAGCCAGCTTCATAATTATTCACTCTCCTTTGTCCATGGCCACATTAGCAACTCTAGCAAAAGCAAGAGCACAAGCACAAGTAAGCGACATGCTGTAAAAACCTGACACGAGAAATGAAATGATCTCAGTGAAAGGAAAATAGTAACTGTTCCTTCACCCGAAGTCGACTGAAGCATATGCATTGGGTTGGGTAAGTGTATGTCCTTGATTATATTACAGTTTCTGTATAATAGTCATTTGAAACAAATCATTTTATCATGAATTAGAAAAATTCTTACGCACTTCCAAATCTCATGACAATACAATAACAACAAGAAGCTAGTATAATCCCAACTCAATTGGAGTCGGGGGGGGTGAAAATGTGCGCAATCTTATCCTTCCAAAAACTGAGAGGTTGTTTCCGTTAGACCCTAGATGCCTTGGTGCATTTACTGCCCAAAACTTCATAGAAAGGAAGAAGAGAGTTTAATACGGAGTGTCATTTTGCCCATTATGTCTGAAGCTAAAACATTCTCAATAGTCGCTCATTTAGTTACATTGCAATGGACAGTCCAAATGTCATGATAATCTCCGAAAACATTATAGGGCATGTTGCATAATGAAGTGTACATAGTTAAGATAGTTGTGCAAGATCAACAGAGTTGGAAACCTCATTTTTTGTGGGATTTGTTTTGTGGTGTAGTTGTACCTTGCCTAACCATTTCAACAGTGCACTTTGTGGAGCAAGCCAACATGCAACATGTACCACTACAACACTACATGTTACTTCATTTTATTAAAGAACAAACATGGATAATTTCTGCAATCATGGTTGAAGGAAAACAAGTCCACATTTGATTAAGAAGTTATTTGATAAGTACTTCAATCTTGGTTTGCTCTACATCTTAAGTCATCCCACATTGATCAAATATAACATACAAACCAACATACAAGGCTTTCGAGTACTTAGTTTGACCTTTTAGGATAGAAACCAAAGTCTTAATATGATGAACACTAGAATTGTCATTACCTCTTCAATGACTGACACGTCTCAATTTTGTCCCCCATCATCTTTGATATTTTTTTCTGCATGTTAAAAATGTAAACTAAATTAAATCCTCGTCATAAATACGGCCCCTCCCCCCTAAATAGGTTATATTCAACTGAAAATGTAAAATGGAAGTGCACATATTGCATCATTGTCCAATTTTCAAAAGGAAAATATATCAAAGTCAGGACTTCCCATCTAAATTCAATGCCCAAATAGTGACCAGTGCCAAAAGGGGAACAAATCAAAGTCGGGACTTCCTGTCTAAAACAGAATATGAAATCAAACTGAGAAACACGTTAGTGTCCAGTGTCTACTGCAAAGCTCAAACGAAACTTGAAATGAAAATGTTCCATTTTCATCCACCAATGTTACGTTAGTGCAATAGACACTATTCATCTGAGATATACAATTCATTGCTGACAAAACCACTATCTGAATAAAATTAAACTGCTTGGGAAAATCTAGTTCATGGCTTCCCTTATTCCCAAAAACAATGTCAGCCAAATCATCAACTAAACAAACTTAGTACTCAGTATATCCAACCAAAGAGTAGGGACTAGGAAGCAAAATGTACACAGACCTTGTCTCTACACCACGAGGTATAGAAGTTTTTAAGAGGGCTAGAATATTAGCTAAAGGTACTACCAGAGTTTATGTATATACCCTGAAGCTGTATCAACCTCAGCACAATGCAGAAAACATGAAAAAGAAAAGTTGAAAACCAGGAAACGCACCATGCAATAAACCCACAGGAACAATCATCCGGTCGATATTATCTACACGCCGTTGTATAGACCTCAAAACTGAATTTAAAGACGCGACTCTCTTTCTAACACTAGAAATCCTAGCAGCATGTTGCATGATGAAAGGCAATGGTACATCCTCCAGCAGCTTGTCAAGTTCTGCCAACACACATTTTCAAACCTTGAAGTTAACAAACCCTTAGGATCTGTTTTGGGTGGAGGGGTAAGGGAGAGTTCATAATGTCGGTACTCCCCCTTACTCTTGTTCGAAAGATTAAGTGGACGGTGAGAGTAACTCTTCTTAACCCTCCTTCGCCCTTATTTTTTCCCTCTTAAATCTGGGGTAAAGGAGTGTAATCTACTTTTTAACATTTCCATCCTGTTTCCCTTCATTTTCGTTCGAATACACTCCATGAAAAACTTCAAGTCCTATATAAGTGAGTTCTCACATTTTGGGCCAGTTCAATTTGATTTAATTTTAGTATCATTCACTTGACTTTGGTACTGCTTAGTTTAAAATTACACTACAATGAGTTTAGTTCAGTTCTGAACCTTACACTAATTGAATATGCTAGTCTATTACACTTAATCCTCCCTACTCTGATTTGCTCTTCCTCTCCATCCAAGCACACCCTAATATTTTAGGTCAGGAAAATTGTCTCTTCAACATAAAGACTAAGGAATTCGAGGGGAAAAAAACTTGAAGAACACTGAAGTCGAATCAAAACGCCCAAATCAAAATCAAACAAAAGCTCAAATGCATCTGCTGCTGAGCAATGCCAAGTTCGCACGAATTGCTAAAAAAAGCGCAGTAATTGCTGAGAAGAGAGTGAATGGAATAAATTAAACCTCCGGTGAGACGATCGAGGGCGAAGGAGAGTTGATCTTGACTGCGGGAAGTGGCGTCAGCTCGGCCGTCGAATTCCCTGATCACGGAGGAGAGCAAGGCGGTTAGGGCTTCGCCAATGGGAGAATTAGTTGAGGCGGAGCTATTGCTATCGCCAGCATTGTCATCCACGATGCTGGTAGCGTCGGATGGTAGCTCGTCCTCGGCTGCCGAGTCCGGCGGCTGACGGTTTTCAGTTGCACCGTCGGACATTGTTACCGCCTTAGTTCAGAACAAAGCAAATGCAAATTGCCATTTGATGGGCGTACTTTATCTATGATAAGTGGTGTATTAAACAAAATGAAATAAAATTTAAATGTTTTTATCTATTTAAAGATGAATATAGAAATAAAAATAACATTTACATATTTAAATATCTGATAATCATATTTTATTCTATCAAAAAAACTGACGAAAACATATACGGAGTACAAAGTAGAAATAAACAAAAACTAATGTGATCTTTGAATAACCAATTGTGAGATTCTTTTTAGAATATTCGATAATTTTATCTTTTGAGATTCATCCTTTTGACGTTCTTTTTTAATTTTCTTTACTTGTGTTCAGCTTTTTATTTAAAAATAAAATAATTTATTACTCCCTCCATCTCAAATTTAAATTACCTATTTCAGTTTATAATGTTTAACTGGAATTATTTTTAAATCATTTTATTTGAAAATAGTATACAATTACTCCGTATAAAATAAATATCACAAATTTAAAAATATTAAAAAATCTACAAAACTAATAGTCTCACAAAATAACCCCTTCAAAATGCACTTTTAGTTCAAATGGGTAAAATCAAAGTAAATGGACAAGTGATAAATTTAATAATCCAACATCGGGAAGAACTAAAACGTATAGAGTACACAATCATCAAAGAACAAAACATAGCTTAAATATAGAGCTTGAGGAATTAAATTATTGTAACCGAATACAAAATATGGCACAGGGGAAATCCCAAACTCATATAACCAATATCCATTTGTTGGTGAACCAAACAAGGCCTTATTAGTATCAGTCTGAAAAAACAAAAGGGAATGCTTGCAAAAACCATTGCATACCAAACACCACTAACTTTTTTTTTAGTATAGCAGTAGCTTTCATTCAACATTACAAAGTAAAAAAAACCATTTCCATCTTTTCCACTTGGGCATACTAAGATATATTTATATATACCCCTTCTAAATCACTACCAGAGACAAACACATCAAAAAAAAGAGCATCAAAATAAGCTCCCAATTCCATTCAAAAACATATGGCATGCAAACCCCAACAATAAAAAACTAGTGCTACTATTTTACTAATACCCTTTCCATGTAGAGAGAGAGAGAATGGAGTTTGGCCACACATTATTCCCCATATAGCCTGTGTCACACATTTTGGACACAACTTCTTAAGCCCCTTAGTCATTCGATACGCACATTTCCACCTGGCGCCGGAATGGACCTTTGTGCGAAATCCATGAGCAGTTTCCTCTGTTGTTCGCTAGTGTGAGGAAGGCTCGCGTGCAAGAGGCCAACCGGGATCTCGCTGCTGACATCAGACCCCGCCGCGAAAGACTGGTCGTACTTGTTGAAACAGTACTTTGTGACCAAGTCAAAGAAGGCATTGAAGGACGCCTGCCAGAACATTCTGCTCTGTGCGTCGCACTTTGTGTCGACTTGAGGATCCCTTAGTAGCTCGGTTGCTCTGTCCAGAACAGATTTCAGGACAACAGAGGCCCCATCACCTAATGGACTTCCTATGGGACGGAGTGGAGGGTGCTCAGTTGAACAAACCACGGATGCAAGACAAGCTGAGACCACTGTAAGATTCATTTCCCTTACACAAGACGAGACTGCCATTGCCAGGTTTTTAGTCGTTTCAGCCGCCACAATGTCCGCAGGAAGGCCACCAAACAAAAACCTGAGATTCCGGAAGATGGCCATGCAGACAACCCGACCGACTTCACTGCTGGCAAAGATAAGCTGAAGGTATCGGGATAACAGCTTCCTTCCCTTTGGAAGGGTGACTACCCTCAAGAACATGAGGTCGTCTTTGGGTGATATGTTGACGGACTGACCCTTTTTGCTGACCGGGTCCACCAGCTGAAGCGATGATGCCAAGCCTTCCAGCAGAACTTGCCTCTTTTTATTCAAATGCTCCACTCTGTCCGGGAATTGATTAAACTGTAGGAAGCGGTCAATGTCGTCAACGTCAAGGAGGAGACAAATCCCATCCTCAATCGTGACCCTGGCCACAAGCATGGGCTCCTCTTCCAAGGGCTTCTCAGACACTTTTGCCTCGCTGCTACTAGTATTTGCAGATGAACTTGGTGGGTCCACTTCAAGAAGTGGTCGTGGCCTGCGAATTGAGGAGAAAGAAACCCTACCAAGTGCATCAACTTGAAGAAATGCATGTGCCTCAGTGTTAGCCCGGTTTTGGGAACTTCCATCCCTGAGATTAGTCGGACAGAAATGGTGTCTCAACTTTGCACCGGCAGATTTTTTTGCCAAGCAAGCCTGGTGGTAATAATCATCTACGTATGGATCATTGCTATGCGTAGCCGCGAGCTGAATCCGAAGAATATTCTCAATTTCGTCAGGTGACATGTATTTGGCCTTAAATATTGGCCAGCCACTACGCATTCCCATGCCACCATATCTACCACCTCTCAGCATGGATTCAGCCCTTTGGTCTTTGAAATTGGCCAACTCAAAACTGTTCATCTGATGTGGTTGCTGATTATGATTGAACCGTTGGGGCTGCAAAGCAGAACTGCCAAACGGTGATTGGAACGGATGATGATGCATCCCGGTTTGAAACTTTTGTGGCAAGATGCCGTTTTGATGGGGTAATTGGTTCATTCGTTGATTCTGAATGTGATTATTAATTTGATGGCTGTTTGGTGAAAACTGAGGTAAGATTCCTCCACCATATTGTGATCCGTGATGCATGGGATTCATTTGATTCCGGGAGCTTGAAGAAAATGTAGAAAAGTTGGGTGAAGAAACTGGAACAGGGTGTGCACCTGGCCGGTACACAGTACTGGAAAGGTTGTTTGGAGAGCCTTGAAAAAACTGAGCACCACCAGGAGGAGGAAATGATGTGTAAGAAGACTTGGGGATAAGAAGTGCTTCGCTGGAGTAGTGATGGTGCTGTGTAGGTAGACGCTGTTGCGGCTGCTGCTGAACTTCTTGGTCGGGGTATGACTGTGTTCTGTACAAAGGCCTAGATTCGATGCGATTAGGGGAAGAAGAATAAGGATGTAGTGGCACCATTCTTTTGCATTCCTCATTCCGTTCAGCATCTAAGTTAAAGCCACGCTGATCGTACCAATCTGGAAAATCCTCCTCTTGGACATAATCTGCAGCAGATGAGCCTGCAAAACAGGAGGGGAGGAACAAACCGACATACTATCAATAAAACACCAAAAATTACTTTGAAAGGGACCAGGTACCAATTATCAAGTTAAACATGTGCTGGTCTGGTATAACTGTTACTTGAAGAGCCGAAACCAACCTGACTTAGTTAAGTGTATAAGAGAAGAAATAATGAGATGTGGCAAACCACTATTCTCTCTTCCCCCATTTATCTTCTTAAGGAACAAAATATAACTCCATTTCTCTCCTATAACTTACCCAGTTATTTCATTTTCAAATATTTCACCTTAACCAAACAAAGGCTAAGTGTAAAGGCAATACAAAGCTTGAACTTAAAAGCATGTGCGCTTCTCAAAGTATGTGTGAAAGCAACTCTACTAACAGTGCACTGAATCCATGAATTTAAGAAACCCAATCCTTAAATTTGGCTTGAAGGAGACATCTTTCTTTTCACAATACTTAAACACTATGTTTGGTTCAAGGAATTTGAAAGAAAAGAAAACAGCTTTCCTCCATTTTCCTCACCAAAATGGGAGGAATTTGGTTTTCCTTCCTCTTAGTACATTTTGCCTACTCACTTTCTTTTCCTTCCTTTTTTTCTCTTCTTTTCCTCTCTAACCAAACAAGAAAAATGTTTTCCTTCTCATTTTCTTTTCTTTTCTCTCTCAAATTCCTTGAACCAAACATAGTGTAAGTGGTAAGGTTTTAAGGTGGCAGTGATTTTTCATAAATAAATTATGATGTAAAGGAACTTCTAAACTTCTTTAAAAAAGAAGGAACTTCTAAAATTTGAATCTGAGTTTCTATTCATGCAAATCTGTTAACTATACGAGAGTTGTGTCCCAATAATAAAGCCATCAAAAGTACTGGTCCATTATCACTTGCGCAATGAAAATGTGTTTGAGATTATTTTAAAAGGAAAGGAAGAATATCAGTCCCATATTTTTTCCCTGAAAAGGATGAGAAAATAATTTAGGCACCAGTGAATAGATCAGTCTCAGATTTGATCGGTTCAGTTTTTTGGCTAGGTGTTGATCGGATGTGTTTTTTTAATTTTTGTTCAGCTCTAACTGAAATGTATGGTCTACAGGAAAAGAAGTAGGGAGCCAATAAAATCACTTAGTGGCGTAAATATACCTGAAAAAAATTTACATGTCTTGGCCCAAATAAAATTATGAAGAGTAGGTCATTTGAAGGGTAAGAAGTCATTACGACTTTTCAACCATAGGCCCAATCCAAAATGAAACAAAATGTCCAGGATAAAGTAGCATCCAGTTCATTTCACCCAAACAATTTTGAGAGTATTTTGGAAGTTATAAAAAGCCCAAAACCTGTCAAAGATTTGACTAATTTATGGTATCAGTGCTTTACTTAATATAGTGCTTTTTGGGGTCAAAATACTCCAGAGTTCTTATGCAGTCAAAAGTAACACGTTGACATCTATAAATACAAGTAAATTAGAAGAGTAAATAGGTATAATAAAAATCTAAACAAGCAATGCACAACTCACTTTCTCTGGATTCTCTATCTCCAAAAAATGCTGTTGCAGGGTTAACTCCATCCTTGTTCAACTGCTAATTTTAAAATTAAATATATTGTGATAAACAGAAAAATACAATAGCTCCAGATAGCAAATGAACAAACTGTAACAACATTCAAAAGAGTTCCGAATTTGGAGCAAATTGTATGAATGCGAAATGGAGATGTCTTAAAAAAGTGCTTGTCCACAATAAAAAATATGGCTTTATCTATTTGCCATTAGCCAAAGTTTTGGGGCAACAGAGGGATGAAATCATGGTCATGTTCCATAATGTCCATGTTGATCAAATTACTGTCATTGGTTATGACTACCAATTTTTTTTTAATTATTTATCATGACATTTTCCATGAGAAAGGAAGAAGTTAGATAAAAAAGAATCAAGAAATTCATCTAAATAACAGTACTTCACAAATTTTTTGCAAGAGGGCATCCAACAACAACAATAACAACCCAGTTGGATCCCACGAGAGTAGGGTCTAAGGGAGGTGTGTGTACGCACCCTTTACCCCGACTCAAGTAACACAAACAAGTATGTAACTGAGTGTTTTTGCATGAATTTGTTTGCAATAGTGTATTGCGGTTTTAAGGCATTTTTCCTCATGGAATATTGTGTAAGCCTCAAGGTGTATTGAGGCATAACTCATTTAAAGTACTAAGATAGTAAGATGCACATAAAATATAATTGAATTCAATGATAGAACATTATTAATAGCACAATTAATTCATACACATTAAAGAAGAGGGATGAAGTCACAGATGAAGAACACAGAAGAGCAATGAAGACCAGAGAGGAGCTGGATGCATTGAGAGACTAGGGTTCCATAATTTAACATTTAAACCTTTCTAACTAAGTTTTTAATTTAACCTTAATCTCATTTTATTTTATTTTATTTTATTTTATTTTATTTGAAAACTGTATGCCACGTTCCGCCTCATTGTGGATGCCTCATGGCGTACGCCATTTTGCGCCATAATTGAGAAATCCATATGGCCTAACGCAATATGGCCACAAGGCATTCTTCTCGAAAATGAACACGAGACAAGCAATATGGTGTATCGTGCAATGATATTCCAAACTTTGCAATGACGCAAGTTTTCAAGTCAATAATAGAGCATACTTGAAACTATGGTAGTGATGACAAATGGGATTGTATCAGTGTACAAGTATGCAATGGCTGTGCGGCACACTAATGCAAATGCTATGATAGAAGTATAGGAGGGTAATAAGGTATCACAATCATATATGAGTAACACTTCAAATGCAAATGAGAGCAGTAAGGTTGATGAATGAATAGTGTTGGCATACGATGACAAAAGTTCCCGTACATCGGTAAGAGAATTAATATTACTTCTATATGAAAAACAAAACTCTGTCAAACAGAAAAATATAATATGTTCAGCTATTAACTGTGCAGGAAAACTATAAATGATGCAAGTGACGGATGAATCAGATTTATTTATTTATTTGTGTGAAAGTTTACCTTTGAAAATGAGCTAGTAAGATCATCAACATCGGAATATGATGTTAACAAATCTCCCTGCAAGAAAGAAACATTTAATTACCATGCATTCAATTGAGCTTAAGAGAACATTTCGGGTTTTGGAAATTAAATACAAGATATATATGACACTCTAGCCTCTTGGAGTTCAAGTTTATGATTATCAAGGTCATTCAATTTTAAAAAACATGTAATTCTTTAGTTCAATATTTACTCGTTAGAGTGAATGCTAGAGTAGTCCAGCTATATAACCAACAACTTGCTCATTAAAGAGCAAAAAAACACATGGATGACTTTGAGAGCTATGGAAGCAACCTCTTCTTGCTCCAACGGATACTCTTCGCTGTCAAACCCGGGTGGAGGAAGGTCTTCATCTTCATCTTCTAAACCCCCCAATTCAACCTCTTCCAGTACATTATTTCCAAAGAATGCATACTGTGATGCATCAAATAGATCATTTCCTGCACCCAAAGAACAGATATTTAACACCCAAAACAGATTACACAACTGTGAGAGAACTACGCTAAGCACATCACTCATGGAATTCGAAGTGTATTAAATGCTACAACGTAAACTATCCATGAAAATAAAAACAAAAACAAAAATCAAAGGGTTGACTTATATATCATCCAGTAAAAGATGCCTTAGCCAAGAGGTATCTCTCCCAAAGTATACATTCCACGGACGAATATAAAATCAGTACTTGCAACTCCTGAAATCATATGGCTTCTAGAATATACAATACGGAGCACATCACAATACAACAGAATCACACACCATGTTGTATGGTTGGATGGAGTAAAAATTCACTCGAAAAGGCAAGCGGAGAGATAGAGCACCTTGTGAATTTGAATCAACTTGCTTGAGATCTTGATGATTATTCATGCGTTCAAGACCACCCGGACCATTAAACCCGTCCATATTCTCCTCTTCAACGCAACTGAACCTCAGAAGTTATATCCAGAATACAAACTGTACTGAACTTTTCCTATTCCAAATTTACAGAGCGCCAAAACCTTCCTCAAAAACTAGGCAACCCCCTCGTAAAAGTTCAAAAGACGCGAACAAAAGAAACCTCCATCCTCAACAACCGAACTTCGTGCGAGATTGAAATCAAAGAACAGAAATGAAAATAAGAGATCGGAATCCGATAAAAAAGTGAACGATGCCAAGGCTGAAACCAGACGGACAGAGACTCTGGGGATGATAGAACCCCCTCGCCGATAACTTCTAGGGTTTCTGATGAGCCAAGATCTGTACGGAGTACGTTAAGTAGACGTGGAATTCATCCGTGGGAAGAAGGGGAAAAAGAAAAAGGAAAAATCAAAATATTGAGTTCTGCAGAAATGAAATTCAGGCCGTGAAAATTCACGGATAACCATTCGTCACCGAACTACGAAAATTAACCAAAAAACTTGGATATGAAGAGATTGAAAGAAACTTTAAAAAATGAAAAAAAAATAAAAAAAAATATATTTTTATATTATTCTCATTCTAATTCTTATTGTTATAAATTATTATTATTATTATATTATTATTATGTTATTTTAATGAATGCCTTTAAGATTAAAAGGTATTATTATTTTTCCTGCACAAAAAAACAACTTTTGTGAAGTACAAAGAGTGCAATGAAAAATACCTGAGGAAAAAAGTTGAATCATGTCCTAAAGTCTTATCAGTCTCGATAGTACAATTAACTATGGAATGTGAATTAGTAAATGAAACTATAATCTCAAATGAGCACTCTTGAATGAGATGTTTTTTCTCTCTCGCTCCCTATATACTCCTTCTGTGAGTTCTGTCCCTAAATATATCTCACATTTGATAAAATATTAAATTTTTCAATTTATTTTATTTTCATGTTGGTATAGAAATAAAAAATAAAATTTACATATCAAAAAATTACATGAAAAGTTTTTTGAAACAAGAGGTGTCAAGAATATTTTATTTTATCAAATAACCAATGAAAACGTAAAAACAAACAAAAGTTCTTGTGACTGCTAAAAAAGCAAATGTGAGATATATTTAGGGACAGAGGGAGTATAATAAAATAAAAAATCTACGTCACATTTTATTTTGTAAAAGGCTAGATGTAATTTTTAATTACTGCTTTGATTTTTTTACACCAAATATTAAATATATTCTATCAAAAAAAATAATCAAATACCATAAACTAAATTACATATATAAGGGTATATAGAAAATATTTGCACTGAATAATTCGTCAATTTAGCATGATGTTAATAATAATATTACATTTGATAGTTGCAACATGCAAGGAATTTTAAACTTTGCAAGAAATAATCTCATTCTTAAAAGTAGTGGTGGATGGAGACCCTGATACTACCAAAATCTATCATAGACTACTTTTATTTAAATGATTCGATATCAGTATGGGATAAACTCTGAAATCATTCGGTATTATTTTGTTTTTTGAAACAGAATGGTAAATAACTTATTGATGTTCAAAGAATATTAAAATAAAAACATTATTTTGTATAAAAAAGTACAACTTTGTTAAAAAAGATACTGATTTCAAATTTTAAAAGATAACTTAAACGAAGTAAGATGAAGTAAAAAAATAAGTATTCAAGATACTTTGTATTCTGTACGTAGTTTTGAACTATTCGAACCATTTTTTTAAAAACTTTGAAGAACTAAAGAAAAAAATATCTGCTGCAAAAAAATATCTTATTAAAAAAAAACTGTCCGTCCAAAACAAATGCCAATGACCGGTACTAAACGGATCGGAGCTCGGAGCATCTCACAACGGCGTACTTCACGAGCTCAAACATCCACACTCGCCTCTATCAATCGCCGCCGCCGCCGCCGCTCTGCAAAGCTTATCAAGTCTCTGCAACTCATCATCGCCGAATTCGTATCTTCCAAACAGATATCCGGACGCCGTACTCCGTCGCCGAGCTACATTCGCTGCTCCGCATTTCGCCACCACTTCACCCCGAACGAAGCCTCTTCTATATAAGACCTCGTATTGGATTTTCCGACGCCTGATTTCCCCCCAGGTTTGGAGTGTCTGTGGATTTTCATAGCTCCTTATACTAAGTGTAGAAGAACGTCCTATGCCTTTTACTACATGCTATTTGTTTGATTTTGCCATCTGTGAAGAATTGCATAAGTAAACTTCCATGGCAGGCAATGACCTGACAGCTCTGGGCCGTGTCATGCTTGTTGACCTAATTCCATCAGAAGGCCTTCCTTCTGATTCATACAAATTATCAGCTAGTACTTTGTCCCAATCACTGGCTCAATACTCGGCCGCCATTATCAAGCTGCCTACCAGTGATGCTGCTCTTTTAGGGTCATGTCTTGAGTCGGCCCGATTGTACTTTCACCAAAAGAATTCGTACCCTTCTACGGATGATGTGATTCACGATGATGGTTCCCGGGAGTGGTGTAAGACCTCTGGCTACCATTCAGATCCTCAACTGTGGCAAGAAGTGTATGATTTTAGACCAGGACTAACTCCCACAGAGCCCAATGATGGGGTTGAATTTCCACCTGCTGGTCTAACGGATGTATTTGCATTACTTGGAAAAACTGCTAGATGCATACTTGATGCCATTAGTTTCTTTTTAAACCTACGCAGCTCACCTTTTACTGAAATTCTTGATAATGTACCCTTGAGGAATCGGGAGATATCTTCTTCTGTTTTATCTGTTTCGTGTCATGGAAGGCCATCTTTTCAGAGTGCTCGACACCATAACCTGGCAGCTCAAGAGGATGGTCAGTTGGTGATGTTCTCAGATCACGACGAGCATCAGGTTGATAGAAGCCTTTTAACTATTGTCAAGGCAGATAAGCCGGGATTACATGTGAGAGATTTTCATGGTCGTTGGGTTCTTGTGGATGGTGATCTTGGACCCCAGGAAGCAATAATTTACACAGGACTTGCTTTATACCAGGCAACTGCAGGCAATATCAGCACTGCTGTTCATAGGACAGATATTGGGAATCTTCAGGGCCATATGTATGGAGGAAGATGTTCACTATCTTTTAAACTCATGCCTAAATCCATCGCCAGTCTGAATTGCTCAGAGATGCGAGCTGCTGGTTATGGTGTTGAAGCCCATTTTCAACTCCCTGTGCCTGTTGATGACTTCATGCAGAGATCAACAGATCAACTTCTCAATAGGAACAACTTCCACACTTTCAATTTCCCTGCCACACAAGATGGTAGGTAGCAGATCTTCACTTATTCATTTTATTTAGTAGTAGTAGTCGTAGCACTGAAAGTTGGATTAACTGATCTCTCCTTGATTTTGTTTCTAAAATGGATATATCTGGTCTGTACCCATAGAATACATGTTTTATTGGGTCAACACCATATCATTAATATCCCAAATAAGATAGAAGGTCATGTTGGATACTTTGACTGAATCACATGAATGCCCTCCTTGCCGATTAGGACTTGAACATGGTTCCTAACATAAACTAAGGTGCTCCAGTTTGAGGTGTTTTAAATGATCTCATATGTTTCTCAAGTCAGAAGCAGTTAATTTTGTGGCCTAAGGTCGAAGCACCCCACTTCAAAATTGAAACATAAATGTGTCTAGTTGTCCTTATTACCGTAAACTTGTAGGTTTGGTTTAAGATTTTGGAGCTGTGAAGTTGTTGTTGTTGTTGTTGTTGTCATAACAAATGTAATATATTGCAGATATGAACACTTGAGGGTACACCTCATTTTGAGAAAAAAGAGAGAGTAATGAATCATAATTTACACAGAGAAAATTGAAATGTAAAGAATAATAGTTTTATGAGTTTAGTAAAAAAACCATGAATTTGAAACCCTTTTGATTCTTTAATATTCTCCTGTGAGAAGCTTTTAACAATCGGACCTTGGTGGATCAATGAAATGCTGGTTACAGGATCTATGAGGACACCTGAGATGAGAAGGAAGAACAACTCAAGATCCAAAGTACTTCCACCTTCAAAGAGGTTACGGCTAGAGGCACAGAGAGTCCTCAAGGAAAGGGTTCAGGATATTGCCGATAAGAAGGGCATAAAGATGAAATTCTGCAGCTTGAAGGATTGTGAGAGCCATATTCAATCCATTGACAGTCCATGTGCTTCAGTTAGGATGGAGATAGGGTGGCCACAAGGAGTTCCATTTGCTCATCCACACGATCTTCCAAACAAGGCAAAGATTGGATTTCTTGAGACGTATGAACCTGGTTGGTCTGCCACCCATGATATGGAGTTAAGTCTACTTGAAACTGGAAAGCCAACTCATCAACCTCCTAATCGTAACTGTGACTCCCTAATTTTGTCTTGAATATATTCATAATTTTCTTTACTGCTCTCTCCTATGTTTGCATTTATATATAGGGTGACCGTTGTCGGTCGATTGCTACTAGTTAGTGTGAATCATTAGTGTTTTATGTTTGTCTAGTTCCAAGAACACATTTACAACCCTCTTTAGAGCTAACTACAACTACAAAAGCAATACAATTACATCACCCATATTACGTCTCTTACGGAGTACATCATATGGGCGATGGAATACAACATTATCAAACCTTTTCAATGTTAATGTTCATTTTCAAAACTCCCCCTCAAGTTGGAGTGTACAAATCAGATGCTCCAAACTTGTTAGTTGTTTACAAATGTGCTTATTTTAGGACTTCCTTAATGATTTGGTCAAGAGGCCTAAAAGTTGATTACTTGTGCTGACATAGATAGTGACAATATGTCTGACTACGATCTTCTCTTCGCTAAAGTGCAATCAACTTCAAAGTGCATGGTGACCTTGGTGCTCCCATGATATACAGGATTTTATGTGATATGTATCACTGCTTGTTCACATCACTAGTTCATTTCTCCCATATGTTACTTTTTGGAGAAGGTGTTTCAGGTTTAGGATCTCACATGCAATAACCATTGAATGGTATTCTGCTTCAGCACGTCTGAGTTCTTCCTTTCGCATCTTGTTTCTTGCTTTTCTAAAAACTACCTTTTCACCAATCAAGATGCAATACTCATATATGGATTGTCAATCAATCGGACAACTAGTCCGCTCATCATCACAACATACTACAATATTGCTAGGATCGTTGTTCCCATAAAGTAATCATTCCCCTTGTGTTTTCTTGAACGGCCTTACACCTTAGAACTCGAACAGTACCATCCCAATAACCACCACACAACCTATCATGAAATATTTGGCCTTCTGATCGTGAGATAAATCAATCTGTCAATTATTCGTCTAGATTTTTCTCTGTCAATAAGAAGTGGCTCCCCTACCGTGTAAGGAGTTTGACATTTGGACCGATTGTGCAAAATAAATGGATAGTAAGGAGTGAAAACACGATGATAACTGAGGAAATTATGTATGGGTGATGGCTTTGAGTGGGCCATCACCTTTCTATAATGAGTAAATCACATTAGTACGCTGATTGCTGAGTCTCTAGGATAACTTCTGGCTTGTGGTGCTGGATCTGTAACAATGGAATCTACACATGCAAGTTTGGGATTCCCAATAAAGGCAAGACATGGACAAACTGGTAAACCTATAATGGACCAGTTGATGTGGAAGGAACGCTGGATTGGGAGTCAGTTTGGCCGTCTGGATTGGAGATGGGTGGAATGACATGCTGGACTTCAAGTGGTATCTAAGGTAGACCAATATGAGCTTCAGTGAAAAGCAGTTGGAGATATGGAACAGTCAGATAGAAAAGAAGTATATGAAGAAGGTATGTGGTAAACTGAAGACTTAATAAAAGAGTTACATTAGAGGAGATAAGATGTCTTCTTAATATTGGAGAATAACAGAGACATTCCGTTTAAAGGTGTGATTATAAGACAGACACATATGATAGACCTTGCAGACGGGGACATCCACTTGTCGTGTCGTATCATGTACAAAGTGGACCTATTTAAAGTTACTAAATGGTAAAGGAAACAACTCATGGCTAGAAAAAAGACATAATCTGGAACTTCATTATGATGGAAGGATTGCAATGGAGTGTGAGGCGGAGTCCGCTACATGTTGGTTTTTACATTAAGTGACCTTGTAATCAAGTTTGAACTTCGACACAAATAATTATAGAGACAAAATTGTTCAACCCCTTCTTTCACTAAAACTAACCATGTGTATATAAGAACATCTTCAATAAAGATGAGGTGTTAGTGTGTCACATAGACTGAAAGGTAAGTCCTACACAGTGGTGGTAAGATGTGCATTGTTATTGTTGTATGGGACAAAATGCTTGCTAGTTAGATATGCTCACATTCATCAAAAGAAGGTGGCAGAGATGAGAAGGCTCAGATAGATGTGCGGTCATATGAGGCGAGGTAAGATTAATAACGAAGTTATACAGGACAGGGGTGGAATGGCATACGTGGTGGCTATGATAATGAAGGTGAGGTTGTGATGGCATGGTCATGTGAAGCAGAGAGACGAGAATGTGCCACTTAAGAGATGTGAGAGTTTAAGCATCACAGGAGTTTAGACTTAGGAGAGGTAGAGAGAGGTCGGAGAAAAATTAGGGAAGGTTATTAGACATGCCATGGTTCAACTCAAGCTTACCAAATACATTACCTTAGATAAGACGTTTTGGCCGTCGAAGATTAGGATTCAAACTTGGTAGATTACGTAACCCTTCCATCTCATTTCAGTGTGGTTAATAAGTTGTAGGCTTGCATAGAGGTTTCCTTCTCTTGGAGACTTGGGTAGATGTTTCATCCTTTTGTAGATTTAGGTGTGATGCCTTTTGCAACTTGCCTGTGGCTGTGTTCCCTGCTTTTGTTTATCTGCTTATCTTCTTGGTAACCCCATTTTTTTCTTTTGAGCTGAGAGTCTTTCGGAAAGAACCTCTTCGCCCCTCACGAGTAGAGGTAAAATATGTGTTTGTCATACGACTCATACCCACCCGCAACCTCACTTGTGGTAATGCATTGCGGTTGCTGTTGTTGCATCAATAAAGATGACAATCCAAAACCCTATGGTAGATGTGACAGGATATGAGCCCCAAGCGTCTCTGACCAATAGGGACTCAGCCTGTATTAGTTCTTTGTGAAAAAAATTGTTGAAGTTCTTTACCAGGATGACACGGCTCACAATTATTTGCAACTGTGTTTAGTCATACCTCTAACCTTTAATTCTTGAGTACCTCAATAATCTACCAGCATATGACATTTGTGTTTATGGGTTTTCTGTTTAAATGTTTTTACCAACACCTTCTAAGATCAATTACTAAATCTCTACTTGATTTTTTTAAATACAGGAACCGATCTCCAGAGTTCTCAGAATGAGTTTACCATTGAACACGTTGATGTTTTCATTTTTTTTGTCGTCCGCGGTGGGGTGGGCAAACATGCATTCACCTTGTAATGCACTGCCCAAGAATGTAAATCATGAAGCCTCATTCCCACTTGAGGTATCCTACTTGTGCTGCATTTTTTGTGTGTGGGATGGGGTATATATCCAAAAAATTTGGATTAGTGTTACAATTGAGGACTTTTTTCATTGCTATCCATAGATAACACAGATAGAGAGGTTAGAAATGTATATGGGATGTGGAAATTTTGCTCCTATATAAGTCTGAAATTCTGGTCACAAATCACAGAAAAAACAATTGACAGCAAAGTATGCGTTTATGTGTGTATATTCTTGGTACCCGTTCATTTTAAATCATTTCTACTCTGTATGATTTTATTCATATACGAAGTATTTGGTTTTGAGTGTGATTATTCAGATGCATCTGAAAAGCTAAAAACAAGTTGTAAATCCAGGTGAAAACTTTGAACTCTGTCAAATTTTAGTTTTGGTTTGAGCACAAGAAAGCAGTTTTAGCCAAATTGAGTTTGTCTATATTGAATAGGCTGCTAAGGGCCAGTTTGTGGATTGTTTTTGCTCTAAAAGTTTCTTTGCTAAAATAAATGTGTAATGGAAGTTGGCTCTTTAATACCTTGGCTGGTTGGGACCAAACAACCATTGGTTTTGGCTTGGTGGACTGGTATTGCCCCATTTATCAATGTATTAGGTAGACTATCAATGCCCGATTCATCAATGTATTTGAACTATAGGGACAAGTTTTATCAATGTATACATGCAATGTATAGAAGATATAATAAGTAAGGTGTGTCTTTATAGTTCAATTTTTGGGATGTTGTGTACTTGTGTAGGTGTGGTTTACGTGTAACATTTCTTAAGGTATTTAGTTAAAAAAAATATTTTTGTGTATTTAGAATAATTTTTTACTTTCCTTTTTCTGTAGTCTAAAAATACATTTTTCATTCTTTTTACGGAGTTCACGTTGCTTCTCTTTTCTCATCAAAATACAAACCGTAAAAAAAGAAGTTTAGTTTGGTACCAAGGAAGTATGAATCTTAGAAGTTAGAACACTTGACTACCAAATATTTTTAGATTCAAAATTAGTAAACATATAGTCATATAGTGTATTTTTTCATAACATGTACAAGTACTCCGTAACATGGAGTACTTTTTCAGTTACATGATAACACTAAAGTTAACACCAAACCCATTTTAAAAGTTGATAGCAAAACCCTCATTCTTGTTTCATAAAAATTTGATAGGGAGTTTGTTTTGCAAAAGTTTCAATGTTTATTTTTAGCATTTTGAAAAAGCCTAACTATTGTGTTTTAGTGTGATCAAAGTTAATATGTACCATTAAAAGAGAATTTATAATGTCATTGCTAATTGAAAACACTTTTCCAAACGAGACCAGAAGCTTGCAATGAAGTGTCCAAAAATAGAATATGATTTAGCTACTTTTTACCATTAATAAATTATTCAAAATGCTAATGTTCATCACAAAGCTTGATTTCAAACCCACAGTCTCCCAACATAATTTTTAATTGGTGTTTTGCTTAAGATGTGGTCAAAATACCCCAAAAAAATGTTTAAGCACATTCATGACATAGATAAATGAAACCGAGACAATTGTGGACAAATAGTAACGCAACCAAGCAGGCCCAAACCCAATTTGCTCTTAAGACCAAAAATAGAGTCCTCAACTGGGCCGTAATCCACCGATGCAAGACAAGCCCAAATCTACATGTAATACGATTTGCATTTATCCTCGAATAATTTACCTAAATATGGCTAAAACATAATGAATTTCTTAATATAAGACCATATGTTTTTATTTCTCGATGTAGTACCATTGGTCATTATTTATTAGTCATTATTTAACTAAATGTCCAGCATCACTTGGACATTATTCTTCTCACTAGTCATTATTAAGTCTTATTTAGGAAATAAAAAAGTTTAAATCCTACATTGAAAAATGACTTATGTTTTAGTCCTATTAACTGCAAATTTCACTTTATCCTTTTTATGTAAATTCAATCACTCGTATGGGCGTCTAACTCGTGTTTATATAGCGTGAATATGTGAGTGTCTGTCTGTGTGACACTTGTGGTGTCAATTTAGCATAACTCATTCAACTATTCTATTACACTAATTCAATTCACTTGAATTAGCATTTCGAGTTTAATTCAATTTATATAAAATTATTACAGAGTTTAAAATTTAATAAACAAATTATATATATTTTTAGAGAAAAGGCGACAAAATCTAATTTTTTTTATGTTAAATAAAGAGTTATGTCCTTAATTATTGACTTACATCTAATATCTCTATTTTGTATTTTTTAAAGATAAATTCTCTGTTTACCATCAATAGAGTCGATATAGCTAAAATGGATATGGATGTAGTGAAAAGAAGGGAAAAAAAGAAAAAAGTATTACAACTTTGAAACTCACTCAATTTGTGCAATTTATGTTCCTCTTTTACTTTGCACTTTAATACTCTCTTCGTCCCATAAAGATGAGTACGTTTTGACTAAAGTATAAATTAAGGGAGTGATAATTTTGTGTTGACTTTTCAAAAATATCCTTGATGTGATGGGTACAGTATGATGTGCTGTGTAAATTATTAGAAAAAAAGTATGATGTGATAGGTAGAATTTGAAAAGGTAAGGGGTAAAAGTGGGTTTTTAATATAAATGAGTAAGAGATTGTGGGACGCAATTTTTTTGAAACGTGTAAATCTTTTTGGGGCGGAGGAAGTATATATATATATGCTCAACATATATAGTGCAATCACATGGTCCTATGCTATAGACTGTAGTTTCTAATCAACAAAACCTAAAACATTTGCCAATACAAAAATAAAAAAATATATCAGAATAATCACGAGTTTTAGGTTAAGAATATGAACTAAAATCGAACATGAACTCAAGCACCAACTCAATTTGATTTTATTTTTTTTCAAAATACTGTGTAGCTCTTTTGACGAAAACCAAACCGAAACAAATTTGTGACTCGATTCCCTAAGAATGGGGTACGGATTACTAGAAAAATAATGGGCAAACACTCAATTTATGTGTACTAGCCATAGTTTTAAGAACCGGACCGGACCGGCCGGTTCGGACCGTGAACCGGAGAACCGGTGGTCCAACCGGTCCGGTCCGGCCCTTTGGACCGTAACACGCTTTGAACCGGTGCGAACCGGTGGAAACCAGTGTGAACCGGCCGGTTTGACTGGCCNTTTTTTTTTTTTTTTTTTGCAATTTTTTCCAAAACATGCAACCATGGGCGGTTTGAACATAAGACTTCTTAGATATTGGGTTGAGTTTCTAACCATCCAAGCATGGATGCTTTTTGTTAAAAGTTCATTTAATTTTTTGTAATATGTCATAATTAAAAAAAGATTGTATAAAATTCCTTTTTAATTTTAAAAATATAATATTATATAGCTATGAATCAAACACAAAATCATGATACTATTGATATTATTAGAAAATGAATATCATGCAAAGATTTCATTTAGCATTTTTAATATTAAACAACTTATTTGAAAAAATAAAATCAAGTCTTCATTTTTAAAATTTTAAATATTATTTTTCTAATATTTAAATTTTAATTATTAACTTAGTAAAATAACTCAAATATTTAAATGTAATTTTAGTCAAATGTTATAAATTACTTTCTTTAGATATTTATAAATGAGAAAGTATGTGTGTCTATATGTATGTGTTTATATATATATGTGTGTGTGTGTGTTTATATATATATATATATATATATAATTTTTAAAAATGTTTAAACCACCGGTTCGACTAGTCGAACCAGTGAACCAGTACTTTGATCGGTTCGGTCACCGGTTTGGTTCTGAAAATTATGGTACTAGCATTATCTCTGCATGTGTTGTATAGATTAGAATAGTAGTGGGAATAATGGAACGTGGAAATCAAAAGTTTTAGGTGACGGAGTATTAGTTCACAATTGAATGTGGACTCGCACTTTGAATATAATGGGGAATCATCACAATTCACAATCCCAACCCGAAATGTACGCTTTGATTGTTTCCCATATTGGAGAGAGTGTACTTTTTGGAAACCACAATTTGCCCCTTCCTATATATACTCACCTCAAATCAATTTCATTCAAATCTTTAATAAGTCTTCACGCCATCCGCTCGGTGTCACTTCAGTTTTCTTCTTTCCCATCACATCACACTGCAGGGGCGTGGATCACGTCCATCACGCCTAGTTTTTTTAAATGAAAGTAACTTAAAATAAAATCATTAATAAATATTTTATCAAAATTCAAATTTAAAATTACATTGACATAATGCGAGAAAAAAAAGAGAAATAAGAAACTTGATTGAAAAATGCTCTCAACTGGCAACGTCCGGCCGTTCCTGGAACTTGTGATGGATTTTGTAAATAATTGCAAATAGTTAGGGTCTGTCATAATATGTTTTTTGATAATATTTAGAGAAATTTAAAAAAAAATATGATGGTGCAAATTAACCACCCGGAGTGGACCCCGACACTTTCACATCATGGCAACCTACTCGGTAGGTTAGCCAGTCGTGCATTCTAAAGGGACAGGAGACCGTCAGCACGAAGCCATAGGTTTTTTTTGTTTGCATTTTTTATTCAAATTTTTTGAGAAATTTCGGGATCATTTCAAAATTTTGGATCGTCCCCGTTTTTTCTTGGAAAAAATTAAATTTAAAAAAAATAAATTGGTGAGCATTTTGTTCTCATCTACCTTACGAGATCAATCGAATTAGACAATTTTAAATAAAAGAAGTGCATTAGGACCTAATCTCACATGATGACACTTAAATAGGAGTATTAAAAGATTTGTATGTAATTGTTCCGTCACTTCAAAACTTAAAGTCAAATTTTCTTTGATTTAATATTCCAACATGTGATCTTTTAGCACCAAAAATCCAACATAAAGAGTGTATAGTTTTAATGGAGCATCCAGACATTTCCCATGTTAAATCAAAGTGAAGTCATGATGGTGGTGAAGATATATACTATATGCCCCCATATTTCCATATATATTAATTCTCTCCCATCAAATTCTTCTTTACTTATTTTTTTACAATCGTGCTGATAGTACACCAAGAAATTCACCCCAAATTATACCCCGAATGGGTGTACTAACATTTTAACGATTTATGCTGATACAAAATGTTAGTTTAATAATAAAAAATTGTATCATTGTAAAGTATAAAAAAGTTATATTTTAAAGATATCACAAAAAAAGGTGATTTTTTTACATGACTAAAACAATATATTTAGGTGAATTGGGGTTGAACAA